TTGAACTAGGTAGATGCTCCTGCTTTTCCAGGGCATTAAAATACGTTAACTTTCCAATACGGACAAGAATTGCCACAAGTTATACATTATGTATGATCTCTATGAAACCTCTAGCTCTACTGTTTGTGTCCACGCTGCAGTACCGTACAGATTCACTAATTATTTAACTGATTTTAGAAATAGGGCCCTAGCCAGATCTGCTTGTTGTCGTTTCACATACCTTGCAAGTATGTCCAGTAATGATCGGATGTCCATAAAAGCTAGTGTGTGCATGCAGGTAGGCGAAGTTAAGCTAAGGGCTTTGGTGTACTGACCTACACAAACCTATAAGGCATGTACAACTCTTATATCAGCACCGCACCCACTATCAAATCTATAAGACAGGGAAGTTCAACCCAAGTCATAAACTGTTTTTTCTGTTGTTTTTCTGTTGCAGTTTGGAATCGTTTAAATTTACCAAACTAGCAGCTAACAGAGGAGAGAAATTGGAACCATCAAAAAAGGAGCTTTTTTAAGTCATACGTTTACCAGCCTTTGCAAAATCCTAAATGTTAGGCAGAAGTTCGAACCAAAATGCTCACGGGCACAACCAAAGAGTTTGAAACGAAAACCACCGACAAACCTCCAGTGATAATTGCAAATAGAGTTCACTCTGTAATTACATCGGAATGTCTACGAAGGCACGCCTGGTGATAAAAGGTTAAGATGAAATTAAGTCAGGGGGGATAATTGACGAGCATTGCCAGGCCGCTGGAGTGTCGCTATGGCGTGGGGACAAATGGTTTAGCGTCTGCATGTGCTGGTAATGAGGGCAGAAAAATTGCGTTCATTCCAACGATGAAAGTACGTACTTCTGCTTTCCCAAGGAAGCAGACATCATTGATTCTGTGAGGAAATCAAATTGAGAAATGCGGTTTATGAGAAAAAATGGCCAGTCTCCAAACACTGGCCCGACAGAAAAGGTAACAAGGCGAATGTTCTCTCCCGGTAGGTTCAGCACCTTGGCATGAAAATTGCAATTATTGAACGAGGATTCACGAAAAAAGAAAATGAAGGTTAAAGAAACGAGGAATCGATGAGACATTTCCGAGCGATCGTTAACCTCTTACCCTCGATTAAACACAAAATGGTCGACTGAAATCAAAAGTCATTTATTACTCTGTCGAATGACCCGGACGCCTCATTATTACTTCTATACAGACTGGAAAACATTGCAGTAGAATGGCGGGCAGTGCCTGGTAGATTCGAGGGTTCTTCGAAGCAAAGATTGATCATTTTTGATCGTTAGGTTTTGGAGTGCTTCTCCAATGATGAAAGCGGCCATCTATGTGGACCACGTTTTGCAGGCTTTTTTTAACACGTGACAGGCAGAATTACCATTATTATGCATTACTGTTTCTTTTGAGTTTTGTCTGCGCTTCTGTTTACGCTACAGGTCAGTTCATTTAAACGAAAGGGTTCTCTGACTGTCAAGTGAACTCCGTTGCTTTACATGTTTGAGTTTCCAAAGCAAATCAACAATTTGTATTTGTCGACAACCGCACACTACCAATAAGTTAAAACACGTGAACAATTTTCATTCGAAATCCAGACCATTAGGGAAACTTCATGTTCTCCTACATTCTTGGAAGTAATTCTCGATTGATATAGTGTTATTTGTTGTTATTGAAGTTTAGTATCTTTGAGGTGTTGAGCAAGTTGTGAATCGGCTGTCGCAAAGTTCATTACCAAGAAAGAAATATGTCACGTTGAATTCAAGATATAAAGTGAGGAACCCTAGGTTTAGTTTGCACCACTCAAAAGGTTGACAAAATTCTTCAAACCATATGTCTCTTACTGGAAGTAGGCCACCAACGGAAGAGATGGTTCGTGAAATCTGTTAGCTAAATTCATGCTGTGGTGGGTTTTAATTTGTTAGTGGTCAGTTCTGTTGAAAACGGGGCTGATTGAAACCACCCATCCTATCCATCAAGATTGGAAGGAAAACTAGTTTATATAGCCTTCAAAATAGGGAGCATCCAAAACAAAACAGAACAGCCTTAGTTATTTGATTAGACAGGGTCAAATTTGTGCGATGGTTGAGAAAATGAGAGCGACATTACCATGACAATTCCTTTTGAAGGAACAGCATTCTTCCATGTCTTTGCATTTTGCCCTCTAGACAGATGTCATAACTCTTTTGCTAATAATAACACGCCTTGACTGGGAAGTTGATAACCAACAATCGCTGCGGGGAGGGCCACGATACCTCTCGGTTCTGTTCGCTGTTCTCCTTTTAATTAATTCCCATGGCAATGCGCAAGCACTGGAAAGTGCAGGAAGACCTTCCAGGAAGGGATAGTATAAGAGATCATACCTCACGGATGGCAAGCACATATCGCTACTGTGTCCAGGGTAAATTATGTAGGCCTTGAGCAAGGAAAGTGAACGGATAAAATAGGCTGGCCATCTTGAACGACGACACAAATGCGTCATGATCTCTTTGCGTGATTTTTTTTCTCAACCAACCAGAAAAGAGTCGCCTTGGAAAATGCAACTTCAACCTGCAACACGTTTGCTAGAGTGTCGAGTGCCATCAAAAACGAAGCGTGCAAACAGTGCATAGAGCGTTTCTGGCCTTTGCATGCCCTTACAAAATGTGTACAGAATGTTTTGTTCTACGGACTGGTTTTTATCTGTTTTCCAGCTGTAACTCATTGGACTTTATTTAAAACTTTCACTGCCCTCGAGACCGCAGACATTTTGTTTTTAAAAAAAGGGATAGGCCTAACAAGTTTCATTTCCAATTCTGTAACAACCGGCGATGAAATATTTGAAGGAATATTTTTGATACAAATTCTAAGCGTACTGTTTGTGGTTGGTATGCTCGAGTTTTTCTTACATGCTGCGGTGATAAATTTAATGTTTAATTTAATAAGGACCCTATAAGAAACTCGTATTTGAAGGAAGTGGAGCATTCTATTGTAACGAGAATTACTCGCCAAAGTCAGATCAAAGGTCCCTCGCTTCTCAAGATTGTTGTCTTGAAAGGGTAGGTAATACCCTTTTGTTGTAATTATAAGGCAGTTTACGAGACAGCAGGAGTAACTTGTGTCAGAAGTAAGAATTATTCAAACTAGACAGACGTCGATTTCTTGTCGCATTACACACATATCAATGACGTTGCATTGCTGACGGTGTGACCTAGGGAGGGAATTCCATCCCTCAAATTTACAATGATTGCAGGTTCAAACTGCGCAAATAATGGCCAGACCAGAATGAATCTAAGGCTGCATCCGAATCTTTTGTCTAGAGCTAGGTCTAGGTCTTCGCTCCATTGGAAATGCGTGGAGACGAGTAGACAATAGACCTAGCCGTAGCCCTGGGAGCCCGTTTCGGGCCCGGCCTAATTTAACAATACGGGCGTTTCAGAATAGGGCACCTCCAAAAGTTTCAACGCGTTAACCAATCACAATGCGCGAATTCTGTCGACCCAATGCGCGATTGAGAAAGGTCGACAGATTTTGCGCATTATGGCCAATGCGTTGCAAACTGTAGAAGGCGGGCTATTGTGAATTGCCCATATTGGTAACTTCTTCTGCGTGTGTTGCTTTATTGTGGGAGCGTAGTGTTCAAAGCCTTTTTTACTAAAAAATAGATTCCACACATGTGACGGGTTTAAGCAGATTTGTTTCTGGGTTTTGACGGCCGTGGATGGTCATCAGTAGGCGCTGTTGGTGCTTCTTTTATCAGATTACGTCGTAGGCATGTTTTCGAATTACCCACTTTATGATTAATGTGCAGAGAGCGTAGATTCGCACATTTGATAAATGGAATTCTCCGAGGCGGCCTGAGCGCGCATATTTTTTTTACCTTCTGCTTCGCTGTCTGCTGATCTTGGCCGGGGCACGTACCAATTGCCTGGGGCTACAATACAAGGCACGCCGTAAGACAATATTTATTGCCGATGAGAAGGCGCAAAAGATCAGGCAATCAGTCATCCGGCTGCACCAAACTTCCCTCATTCTTGGCACGCCCTGGCGCTACCATAAATATTCCAATACGCTTTGGATTACAACATTACTCAGGGTCTAAAAAGGTGGCTTGGGATCAGTCCACATTGGCTGTTTTTTCCCTAACGAGTGACTTTCACGTGATGGTGTATTTGATGCACGATATTTTTGGAACGTAGATGGCTTCAAGCGAAGTACATGTTAGAGATATACGAAGTCTTTTCTCAATCATGAAACGTAATTAAAACGAGCTGTAAAGGTGTCATTTCCGATGACGCGTGAACCATTGCACGTGTGGTGTGTGATACTGAGTGATAACTCTCCTGTCTTCTTCTTTTTCTCTACATTTTCTTGGCTTGGTTGTTGTTGGCTTGTTTTTCAAGCTAATTCATGCGGTCGAGATAATCCTTCATAGTACCGATACTAACGGGGTGTGCGAATCGATTTTTCAACCGGCACGACGCGTTAGAGATTAGAGGGACAATTTATATACCATAATGGCTTGATATTCCACAGCAGAGAGTGCAATATATTTTACACCCTTGTGTACTGGGATTTTACCCCTCAATAGGTCCATCCCAGGTGATGTACGGAATTTGTAAGACGGAAATCGAACGTGTCAACCCTCGGAAAACGTTAATCTCCACTGTATTTGTAGCTCGAATGGGGGGAGACGAATTGAGACAAATTTACGGTCTTGAAGAATATCGGGCTTTTATGGAAGGAACCGAGTAAACTGACATCTCCTCGAATCAGGTGATCTCATTCTGAAGAACTGTCCTAGGCGTTTTTTCACTGTGAAACCGTTTGTCACAGCCACAAATAGTCACGTGGGAAATCCGTTTAGTACGCGCGTTCGTCGTTGGTGAAGCCGATTGGTATGGGGATAACAAACGGGTGTTTTGGTGTAATTGTTTTCCCATGGCCGATGGAAGCATAAGCCGTCTGTATTGAAAAGAGAAGAATAATGCCAGTTTTCACCATATTATAATTGTCCTTTTTCTCCAGGTTAACAACTGTTGGGACACTTGCGCATATAGGAACGGCGTGGACTAAACCAAGGCATTTCTAAATATAGCATCCAACTCAAAGGTATGGAATCCTTTGACTTTGAAACCAAGCAAAATTAAATGTCAGTTATTGTATGGATATGTTTTACGTAAATGTTGAGATGGGTCGAGAAAAAATGGTCATTAAATGTCAGATTTTCTGTATGTGCGTTTTCGTCGCCTGGGGAGAAATTGCTTGTGGGAGAAAGTCCTCCCACGGAACTCAGAGAAAGAGAAATTTAACACTGGCAGCCTGTTATGCCCATAGGACAAAAACCTGACTTGATTGAAGGCATTTTTGTGTCATAGAAAACTTCTGTGTATGAAAAATCTCTAGCTAAACAAATCGGCATGATTGTATAAGAAGCATTCCAGAAATTTCTCCTTTCATGCACCGAAAGAGCGGCAATATTATATCTGGTGCTTGTTTTTACCCGATTGTCAAGAATACTGGGTCCGTTTTCCGATCAACCCATTCAGATAGAAATGTGCGTGTGGTGGTCCGTTCAAATTTGTCCTCCTGACGTGGCTTCCCCCCCCCCTTTTTACTCTGAAAAAGAAATAAAGGCAGACATTGACATTGGGGTTTTGCCAATTTTCTTTTTATTACAAGAGATAGTATCGCGTGCACAACTGTTGGCGTCAAATTGCATGGCACGGAGCTATTGTCTTAATAACACAATAACAGTGGCCTTGGCAGCGCATCCTTATAACAGCTATCGGTATCTTTCTTATTTGCTCTAGTTGTGACAGTGGTGCTTTCAAGCAGGCGTGTTCCTTGCGTGAAAACCATGGAATTGCAAAGTTCTGGAAACTTTTATTGGTATCTAAGCACCTTTTTTTCTTTGAGTCCTCAAGAAGTTGTCCGTATGCGTGCGTATTTGATTCCCTCTACCAAATTTTAACAAAAATTCATTCATTTGAGAATATGGGCCGGATTTAATCAGAAACCCCTTAAGAGGGGACGTCCCGTTTTCATTTTAAAACTCAAAAATCGCATGGGTGGAATACTCTGTCCGTCCATTTTCAAGAGAAAAAAATGAGTGCCGCCATAAATTCTAGCGTATCCCAAATCAGGGTTGGATATTATGGCCGGAGAAAGGTTTCCAAATAACCTGTATATCTTACGATGAGTATCTTGGTAGCAGTGACACTTCTGTCGGCAGTGAATCGTGTCGATATTTCGATGCACGAACCATTTCACCAAGCATGTCGGGCTGGCTCTTCAAATGTAAAACGACACCCAACTGCTGTTTACTGTCTTACAATACAAACGGAAGTATCATTTTAACGAATAATGATGATGTCACTGGAACACCATCTTGTGTTCTTTTTATTCCCTTTAAGCCTTTACATTTTTTGGCTATGAATGCGAAAACACAGCAGCACAAGTCAAAACAGGTTTTCTTGAACTAATGCAGTCCGGAACCGGTAATTAATCTCTAGATTTATGTCTGTTGTGTGCACGTATCGTGGTTCTAATAAATGTCTCTGCCATAAACGTTGTTCATAATTAAAAAGTCGAAATCAACGTAAGAAGAAAATTGAGATTATTCCATACTGTGATAAGCGCTTTTTTTTAAAGCGCTTATCTTAACAAAACTGAAACGGAATTTAATGTTCGCGCTTTGAGGTCACCTATCACCAATATGAATTTTCTTGAACATGGAAATGCACGTACCTGTAAGTTTATTTGCGTTATACATGTACATATCGATGGTTTCACTTTATGATATAGCCCCTTGGCAGGCCTCTGTATTTCACACCTGCATGTTTGATGGGGAGACAGTGTGAAGTAATAACTGTCCCAACGGGTTTCATAGAAGTTAAGGAGATTGAACAGTCAAGATGAGAGGTTTTCATCAGGCAATATAGAGCCTTAAAGCTGACCCCTGATAGTGCGCTTACGGAACCCTTGGATAGGAAAAATAACGTGCCGACATTTTAGAATTTGTAACATTTCTTTCGTTTAGGTATTTCTTAAAAACTCTATCCTTAAAAAGACCTTTTGTAAAATAATTGCTAGCATATCAAGTTATGGAAACTGAAAATGCCTAACCTAAAAGAGAAATATCCTGCCAAAATATACCTATTACTTCCGAAAGTAAAAAATACATAAAGAACAGTGCAATTCGGTGGTGTCACACGCAGATGAACATTTACGGAATTATAGTTTATGATAGTTTTTAAGTTGAAGCCAAAATATAAACAGATCAAAATATCTTTAAGGGTTTTAAAACTTATAAGGAAATACACTTAAGGCAATAATGTGCTTTCAAGAAAGATTCCAATGTGTAATCTAAATTTATTCGGCAGTTTTGTTTCATTTAAGTACCCCTCTTTTATGCAATAGCAAATGCCTGCTAAATACCGGGGAAATACAGCAAGCTTCCGGAACCCTTGCGCAGTAACTATCACATCCGATAATTTCTGGAAGCATGATTTCTAACTTAAACCAACCTAAGAAACACTCATGCTGGAATTTTATCTTTGTCCTCCTCAAGCAATATTTAAGGAAGGTCATCTGCATGGAGATGGGTAAAAATCGACTTTCATTAACGACCTTTCGCTTCCGGCAGTCTTGTTCCAAGGTCTCCTTATTTGTGCACGTTTGTTTTCATTACCCGTGCTTATTTGGAAACGAGATTGTACAACGTTGCAAAGATTACCTACCTGGCGTCGATGGGTTCAAGATTCCGTGAGTTGACGCGACGCAGTTCTCGTCAGCAAAGGTTAAAAGAAGTCAATTAGAATTGTTTATTTTGTAAACAAACAAATTTGCCTCTTCCTGAAAACGCTGAAATTTATGCACTTTCGTCTATTCGTGAAAATGCGTGTTATTTTGCTACAGCGCTTGCCAGGTGCAAAATTGTTATATGCGCATACATTCCGGCGTCAAATTTGCATCTTCGTAAAAACAGTGAAACAATTTGGCAATGGAATTTGCCTTTTATTGCTTCGCTATATCTATGGAAGACAAATTCGCCTCTTCGTGAAAACGCATAATGCAGTTTAGTTGAATTTTGCCCCAAACAGACCGATTACACCAACTTGTATGCATCGCGTAGCCTATTTAATTTTGCCGAAAAACAACAGAAAATTGAAAAAAAAATACAATTTGGGGGCCAAAGTGTCTTTACGTGAAAATAGTGAAGAAGACGAACGAAACTCCTGACGTCCTTTGTCATTCTATACTGGGCAGTAAGTTTTAATCAACTTGGACAAAGGGATTCATGAATTGAGAACAGCTTTCAAAATTACCGTACACTTCTGATTTTAAAACCGTTTTGGTAAACTCTGAAAAGGAATAAAACAGAGCATGTACCATCCTCAGGAAGAGAAATTGATTACTTGTTCCAATTATGAGCCCCTCATGTGCCCTCCAACATTTGCTGTTAAACACATCTAGACCAAGTCCTCCTTTACCGCTTTGAATGATTTTGGCAACCTCTCGCAAGTCACATTTTCACGTGAAGCCCCTAAGGCCATCGCTAAATCCTTCCCAAAAGCTTTTAATTAGGGTCTTCACAATGTCCTATCTGGGAAAACTTAGAAGCATATACAGCAAAGTACCCTAGAATTGGACTGGTCGAATAGTTCTCTAGATTTTCTCTCTGTCAAGAGTTAAAGATTAACGGCTGATTTCATTTTTAGGGGAGACAATCGTCGCCGATAAAAAGGTTTAGCCAAAGCGGTAGAGGACATAGAAAGGCGCAAAATGCTTGATTGGAAGACTCTTCGGAGGGAAAAGTTTTAGAGGAGCAAAAACACAATTTTGGATGTAGACACTTTGAATGATTCTGCGGAAGGAATGGCCAGCAGTACACGTGTACGTCATCAAAAATTATTTATGTTGCTGTAAATGGCTTAAAATATTCATATCAAAAGAACTTCCAAAATGTTCTTTGGTAGCAAATTGCTTGAGTAAATAAAACTAAAGAGATGATAAGGGGGGGACTGAATCTGCAAGTTAGCCACAGTAAGGCTACAACAAAGGCACACAGTACAGGAAGGATACGATAATAGAATCACACGGGTGCGATTGCGTAGGATACGCAGAACAGCGTACGTGCAACCGCTTGACAAGTTTCAAACGTTTACGGCTGTTTTATGATCAAGACGATTCCGTTCGGCCACAGTTCTTCATGTGCCCGTGCTGTGGAACCATCTACAATGGCTCTGCTGACTTCGGTCATAACCACACTTGGCCTGTTTCTTCTTGTTGTTGTTGCCACCGAGGCGTAGGTCGTCTCTCCAAGAATGTTATGGGCCACACCATCTCGAGGAAGGCTACGAGGGACCAATCGATTTGCCGCGCAGCGCCTGTAACTGATTAAAGATGACTTGCCCAGTCTTCCGTCTGAAATGAGTTGAAGAGACGATTAAGTTGATCGATTTTTGGAGGGCAAAAATCCCTGATTTTGACCACTTCCCGCCTTATACCCATCATGACATGGGACAGAGGGGTACCCCCCATGTCCAAGCCCTATACACACTCTAGACTTTTGTTACCTAATACCCCCCCCCCTAGATACCTGTAAAGAATTCCTGAGATTCTGATCAAACATTGACCAACACAAAGGTGGGGGTGCTCTCCGTCCCATATCTATTGTTCCTCTTTTGTTCATACTCTTTTTCTGGAGACCTCCCATATGTTTTGTACACGTTTTCCAACCGCGGACTCTTCGGCAACCGTGGACCCTATTGTTATAGGTCCACGATTTGAATGCGTATACCAACTCACACACCCACACACACTTTGCGTTGGTCATTCTTTCACTGGAATCTGAGGAATTCTTTTCAGACATCTAGGGGGATGTGTTAGGTAACAATAGTCTAGAGTGTGTATAATACATAGCAATTGGACATGATGGGGGTACCCTAGTACTACTGTCTCGTTTCTTGCTGGATACAGAATCGTACGTAATAACAAACCGCAGCTAAGAACATCAAACACACACAGCCTAAGATCAATCCTTGTCTGCAAGAAAAGACTCCATTTTTTGTCTGAGTCAAATGCAGTTCTAGAATGAAGATCTTGGA